AGAAAAATTGAAATGAAAATATTGATTAGAATTGAATTTCATTAGTCTTTCTAAACATCCCTAACTCTTATCAAGCTAGTTAACAAGAATTTTAAAATTCGATGGGTCATTGAACCATTAAAAGAATTAATTCAAACATTCAATAATGATTTAACATGTAGTTGCACTAATAACAATTAAAGACTAATTCTCTTATTATTTTAATTTTAATTTATTAAACAATATTAATATACAAAACTTACTTATAAATGTTATAACTCATAAACATAAATATTTAAAATTAAACATAAAACTAAATCGAATGTGTCATCGTATTGAAAATTAATTTGGCACTAATATCCAATAGTAAAATATCTAGAAATTAAGTATAACAGAAATAATTATCAATAATCATAATATTGAGTGCTAATAATATTTTATTTTGACATCGAGTTAGAATAGTATTAATCATCAAAACATTGAGTTTTTAAAATTTAAAAAACAAAATTTTACAAACCATTCCAACAATTTAATGATCGGCTCTTAATTGAACCTATCTGGCTAACTAGTGTAGTCTAAAAAAAACACATGCTATCAACAATAAAGTCAACAATAATAAGTAATTCATTGAATATAATTTATGAAACCCCGAAACACATTATTGAATGTGAACTAATAAGAGTAAAATTAAAAGTGTTTTGACATCAATGTTTGAAGATTTTTTTTTTTTTTTTTAAAAACCTTGAACAAGTGCTCACAAATATCAACAAAGAGTGCTTCGTGCCTCCTTTTTTTTTTTTTTTTTAGTCCTATTGGCATCTTTAAAATAGTTTTTTTTATAACTAATTTATAAATTTGACAAAAATAATGATTATTTTAAAATGAACCAAGTCAAATAGGCACTAGAGAGAATATTGTCCAAACAACACTACTAGATGATCAAAGTACAACATTAGAGTATCCTTTAGTGCAAAACCATTAGATTTCATTAAGCAATTTATTCATGATACTCAAATGGTGTTGCTTGTGTCCCATGCAAGTGATTGGGGTGGTAATACATCTCAATTTTACGTCCATTCAATTGCTGAAGAGGCCTTGCATTGTGCTTGAACTCTGTGCCTAATGGTGCCTTTAGGAGCTCTAGTTGTTCCTTTGAAAGTGTCCTCAACTGCATACTCCATTAGTTAGACATTTTGTCAAAGTAATACATGTGATGTGACAAAATTTGCTTGTCCCTCATTAATTCATAAGTCACTAAATTTTAGTGATCATTTTAAAAAAATTACACACAAATTATTTATCACTATTTTAAATTTGATAAGTGTTAACGACATTCTCTAACACTTTTTATTATTGGTTGAAATTTATTAAAAATTATAAATTTTGTGGGTCTTACATTTCATTTAACGAGTCTCTCTTCTCATATAATGATAAAATTTATCAAAATTTTGATTTTCAATCAATAATAAAAAAAAATATTAGGAAGAAGGTATTAAAGTGAAAATCTCTAACATTTCATTTAATATTATATTTTCTCACTAAATAAATCATATAATAAGTTGGTTACCTTGCCAAGGATGTTCCAAGTGACACCCTCTTTGCATGGTGGAGTGGTGAGAGAGCCAACATATCTATAATACCTATGGCTGCTTCTATTAATCTCTTCTACATCAAAGGTGCCAACAGCAATTTGAGCATCCTTATCCCCTTCACGATTCTTCTTCTCTAACTCAATCAATTTGTCTTCAATCTGTACCCCACAAACAAGTGTTAGTGCCACATATCAAGTTCCAAATTTCTACTTTATCAATCCATGGAACCACATGAATTCAGAACACAAGTGAATGTGACTTCCACTCTACCTGGGATATGAGAGGATCTGGATCACCCAATTTGTAGAGCACAGCCACAACTGCTATGTTGTTATTATCTTGGGTCAGGTGTACTAGATGGAGCTCGGCATCATGGCTGTATTAAAAATATTTGTAAAAATTATTTTTAGACACCCAAAATACTATATGACACTTAATGAGAAAGATATAAAAGTAAAATATATGTAGATATGTTAGGTTACGTGACATGATAAGAAGAGAGATAATAAAAAATAAAAAAATGAGTGTTATTTAGTATTTAAAAAAGAGTTAATTATCTATACACTGTTAGTGTAAAGTTTTTTTACATTGACAACTAATCATATATTTTAATAGTGTCATGTCAACTGCTTATTTAATAAAATAAAAATAAAATAAAATAATTTAAAATATATGATTGGTTGTCTATGTAAAATTTTTTACACTGACAGTGTATGAATGATTAACTCTTTGAAAAAATATGAGGTGTTAAAATTTAAAAATCATTACTCAAAACTTCACCATGCCAAGGCCCAAATAAGAAAAGGGCTTGACTAGGACTTTTGAAATCTGCATTACATATTTTTTTCGTATGGCCCTTTTGAAAGGACATTAAGGCCCATTTTTTTTATAACTTAAATTTGTCATTCAGAATAAAAATGGTCGAATTGAGAATAAGGTGTACTCTAGTACTGTACCGTTTTAAGCCTATAAGACTCAAATCAAAGGTATATATATCACAAAGGTTTGGTTGGTTTGGAACTTCGACAGTTTATTCCTTCTGATTCCAACTCAAATTTAAACCCTAAACCTTTCAAAAAAAGAAGAAAAAAAAAAACTCAAATTGAAATTTGGGAGTCAAATCAATAAAAGGAATTATGCCCCCGAATTAAAAAATTAATAATAAAAAAGAACTGAGTTGGATTGTTTTTTTTATTTTTTTATGCTGTGTATTTTTACGTGCCCTGTTTATTTGTTTTGCGTTTGAAAGAACTTTATCCAAAATGACAAGGACGGAGTTCGAGCGAGGTGATATAATTTTATTCTTTATATTTGCATTTTAAAATAATATTTGTATCCAAGTTTATATTCATCCAGTAACAAAGTTCAATATATATATATAAGGAGGGTTCAAACGATACGAAATTCTTTAAATTTGTAAAATTCCTCATCCAAACACACTATAAAGACATTGTAAGAAAATATCAATTAATTCGCATTTTTTTTCTATTAATTTGGACTTTTACACCAAAAAAATATAATCTTTGACTTTATGAGTGTTTGTTTATTTAATCTCTCTCTTTGATCTAATGCTTATTAATACCGATGAAAAAAAAAGATAAAGTTGGTTATTTTAAAGTTTTCAAGTTGATATTCAAACTGACTTTATTTTGAGTCGCGTAGCTGATTTCAATTATAAAAAGGAGATAAATTTACTTTTTCATGATATTAGGAACCAAATTAATTAATAATATCAATTTCATAAACCAAATTGATTGATTGGATTTGCATTTTAAAATAATATTTGTATCCAAGTTTATATTCATCCAGTAACAAAGTTCAATATATATATATAAGGAGGGTTCAAACGATACGAGTGTAATTTTTACTAAGTGTTATACTGCTCAATAACTTTATATTAAATATATATATATATATATATATATACTCGCATTTGGTTATTGATTTAAAAATGCACAAAACTTAGATATACATTGTTGTAGTTATCTTGGTAATACGAATTAACATTTAATTAAATTTTTTATTATACATATTATCGTTATAAAACATCAACTCTAATCAAATATCATTAACAACGTTTATAATACATGTAAGTTTTATCTTTGAATATGTTTTTCTATTATATATTTGTTTGACCAAATGATAAAAAATAAGTACTATTATAATACTAAAATTAATTGTGAAAAACAAATAAAAAATAGCATCGATTAAAAGTAAAAGAATATATAATTGAAAAAAATTCAAAGAAAATCCAATTCCTATTATAAAACATTACAAATAAAATTCTTTAACTTGATTATTTAAAAAAAAAAACCAAATTATAGTTATAAAATATAACAAATATATTATATGGATATGGATAGGGTTGGATAACTACACACCTATACCTACAAAAATTTGTGGGAAATTAACCATGTTCAGATTCATTAAATGGGTAAATTTCCTTTCAATTGCAATAATTTTTTTTATTATTTTTTTTTATGATTATTTACTGAGTTCAAGTCAAGTATCATCCCTTATCATGCTTCCAACTAGTTAGGACATATAAATAAAGTGAAGAGTTATTTGAAAACGGGGTATGGAGAGAACCCCCACCAATTGATATGGAAAAAGCCTATAAAAAATCATTTTCAAGGAATTGTTATAAAATTTTCAGAACTAAATAGCTTACAAATTTAGTTCTACAATTGTCAAAATGAGTTAAATTTGATGAACCAACCAGTTTAGCTCATTAAAAAGGTATGACTTTAGCTTGAAAAACTTTAAGCTAATTTGACATTCTGAAAGTTTGAATTAAATAATATTTACTTCGTGTTCTATTTATATTCTGAAGGATTAAAGTAGCACAAGATTTCTACTATTAAAAAAAAAAAAAAAACATTTTCTTTATTTTAGTCAGTGACTGCCAGCTCAATTAAAATTGATATGCATTGTGGTTAGATCAATGGAATAACTTTTTCTTTTTTATTTTGCTTGAACTTATCATGTGATGCACAAAGTTGTATGTATTGCGCAACTTCATAGAGCAACAATTAGCTGAATCAAAACTTTTGCACGAAAGTAATGTCTTATAACTATGATTGGTAAATGATAAGGTTTGAAAAGCAAATGATTGGAGAAAGTTATCATTCTTTTTCACAAGTGGAAGCTTGAAATCACACTCTACCATTTTACATTTATTTTATTTTTAATAAAAGAAAAAAAACACAGGTATCTCATATAATTTCAGGTGCATGAGAACGTGTACAAAAAGGGTGAGGAAGCAAGGGAACTTACATACGACCATTTGCCCTGTGCTCTGATGGAGAATGCCAGTGCAGTTGTTTCAATGAGTAATTTTTTCCATTTATATTAATATCTCCAACTTTTCCTTCAAAATGCACCTATATAAATGGAAAACTTAAGGATATTAGTTGATACTGGAAATTCTTTAACAACCTTAATTACCTTGTAGTAATTGTGTAACTTGTTCATAACAGAAAAATTGATGAATTATCAACCAGGTAGCCCAAACTACTCACCAAAAGAGAATAACTATCGCAAGAGAAATTATTATATGGTCCGAAATGATGTTAGTTTTGACCGATCTTCACGTGACATGTTTGAGTCTTATGAAGACTTTGTCATAAACTGAAAACCTTAATCATATGGAAACTAGTTAAGCTATGAAATGTAATAATTTCAGTCCATACAATAGTTTCTCTTGTAGCACGTTACATGGGTTTGTAAAGTTTATATAATTAGTGCCTAGTTAAATATTGTCTGTATAGTTAACCAATAAAAATCATAATTTATATAATTTTTAAAGTAGTTATTAAGTCAACAAATTTATATGTATGATAAATTGTGATTAAATGATAGTGTAAAGTAAAACTATATATCTATTAAAGCCAAATACTTATCCAACGATGCTCATATGGGATGTGATAAAAAAAGAGTGACATGGTTGTTTAAGAACAGACCCCAATGTTGAATTTGTTGTTAACCAAAGTGGCATTAGTAGGAAGGTAGTGTCTTTCTAGATTCTTCAACTGCTTGTTCAAGACAATATCAGTCTTCATAAGGTCCACAGGACTCTGAGCTTTCCCATTTGAGCACGCTGCAAAAGAAGGACTCAAGCTTCCCCATTTCTCAGGACCATTTGGACCAGCATAACTAAAGTTAGCCGAAACTAATCAAAAAAGAAAGAAACAAATCATGTAAGTAACAACCTTATAACTTACAAGTAAGAGGGTCTTAGGTAAGATCCCTGTTACTGTCATTGTAATTCCTACGGATCAAAAGAAAAAAATAGCAAGTAACAATTACAAAAAAGTTTTATATCTTCACAGTTTTGAGAATAACAGCTACAAGAGAAACTGTACATGGTGTGATATTGCAAATGTTGTATGACTCATTTGTGTGAAGCAAATCAAAGATAGTTAAACTCGACGAGAAAACAAAAACTTACAGTAATATTCTGCAGAAGTGCATAGAGCAAAAACTGCAATGGAAATGATTGAGAAGTGAATCTTCAGGGTCATTGTGAATAGGTAGCTGTGTGTGCTTTGATATGAGAGCCTTTATTTTTCCTCAACTTTATATATATGTAATGTAATGTGTATAATATATGGTATGTGGTGATGGTTGTGTTTGTGTGTTATCCAATATATATTGTGAGTGGTATGGTGCTAAATTGGGGAGGTGGTTGACTAGTAAGTGGTTTTCTTTTACGAAATGAGTGGAGAAACCATTTGTGTCTCTGTCTATTTAGGGTCACTATATATGCTGCAGATTCTGTTTTAACTTAAGAGGGATTCTTTTCTTCTGCGAACCACATTAAGTGGAATGGAATTTATCAGTTTGGTTAACTGTCAAAATAAACATATGTTCCAATTTTGGGCTCTGTTTGTTGAGTGTAACAATTGCTTTGGAATCCGAAAATTACTTCATGAGAGGTCGATGCAGCCTTGTTAGTTACTCTGTCTCGCACCCAAAGGATGGAATGTGCTGATAAGTTAAAAGAAAAAAATAGTGTGGTGACAAGTGTAAAGTGGCAAGACAAACTCTTCTTCAATATAGATTGAATATATTCTTTATTAATAATGATTGATAATATATATGGATTGGATTAATTTTTAATATAAAAATCAGTTTTATAAAATTGAGTTAGATTTAATTTTACCTTTTTAGAATGATATTAGAGTTTATCTTAGTGAATATTATTCAATTTATTAGATCAAACATTATCGAATTATTCACAATTGTCAACTTATACAAACTTTATGGTTAACTAAGTTAGTACAAACAATTTAACACATGTGATTATTAGGAGAGTTATACTTCCAAATTATATTAAAAATCATAAGTTTATAGATTTTATTTCTTGTTTAGCGGGTCTCATTTACAAATACAAATTTTATAATTCTTTTAAAAATTATTTAATAATAAAAATGTGGAAAAAATAAATATATCGAAGAGTATAGTGATAGGATTGGAAAAAGTCAAGGAAAGAGGACAAAAGAATCTCCCGCTAACAGAGGTAATAGGTGCCAATAGAAAAGTAAAGAGAAAGCAATAGACAATAGTGTATGGACCATGAGGCCTTGCATGGGTTGATGGAAATGGATGCAACAGAATGAAATAGAATAAAATAGAAAGGTATTAGTGTTTAAAATATCATGAAATGGAATAAAATTTGAATGAATTCATTCTATTTTATATTCCTCTTTTACTTCCTCCCATGTTAGGCATAAATGAGATTGAATTGCCTATTATTTGGTTAATTTGTAAAATTGTTTTTCTGTTATTTTAATGAATATTAGTTAAGAAAGATAAAACATGAATAATAAAATTATAACTCATACTATTAATTTTACTCATTTTTTTAAAGTTACTTATAAATTTTATGATATTATATTATAAATATCGAAATGATAAAATAGTAATTTTATGAGAGAATGAATAGGTTATGTGCATACTGTAAAATAGTTTTCGATATTATTTAATCACAAATTATTATTTATGATATGTTTTTGACTTTTATAATAAATAATTAAAAAAAATACAAAAGGAGAACTATAATTAATTGACGAGTAAATACTCAATTTAATCCTTGAAAATGGTAGAAATGGTTGATAGATCTTTGAAGGATTTTTTTTGGGTGACATTTGAGTCCCTAAATTTTAAATACTTTATGTAAATTAATTCTTCCGTTATATTTAATTATTAACTTTGTTCGTTTCTTGAATAGTTAGTAGTTAAGTGCTGCTTTCACGCTTATTGTCTTTTCTAATTGGTTGTTCTCTCTCCTAATTACCTAATGTGAATCATAACTCAGGGTTTTGGTACTTTCTAATCAAACAACAAATACTTTGTCATGTTTAAATACTCTGGCTATGAAGGCTTTAATTAAAATGAAAGATTGTTGTTGAATTTTATAGGATTTTCTGTAGTTAGATTTTTTTGTCTTAACCATAATTAATTTATTTGTATGTTCTAACTATAAGTTTAGGATTGTAAACCTAAATTATTGAATTTGGAGTTTAACAAAATGAGTGATTGTTATGAGGATCTGAATAATAATACGTTAATTGAATATGAATGTTTTAGCTATGATTAATGAGTTGTAGGACTCCCTTAGTATAAGTGGGAAGAGTTTAGTGATAATGGTCCTATCTATTACTGTGGAAAGATGGTTCTATGTAATTGTTGCATGCTAACTGGGAGAGAGAATACGTGTCAATGAAACAATTAATTGATGACTGATTATGAAATAAACAAAGTTAGGGTGTGTTTGATTACTCATCCACACACATTCTCATGCACTCAAACGGAAAAGCGTGAGTGTGGATGAATTGAGTTGAACATACATTTTTAGCTATTCTAAACGGTAAAACAAACATGCACTTAGTAATTAAGTATAACAAAATGGCTAACTTGAACAATAAAATTAAAATTTAGAGATCTAGATGTCACAAAAAATATTTCAAGGATTTATCGAGCACCTTTATCATCATTCAAGGAACAAATTAAATGTTTCCTAATTAATTGAGAATGTTAAAGTACTTTACATGATAAATATAAAGCCATTAAATTCATTTTATATTATTTAATTTTTTGTATGTTAATTTATAGTTTTACCTATTTTTTTGTATAAATTTAATTTATTACATATGTGTTATATAATATTAAAAATATATTTAATTATTATTATTTTAACTCCAATTGAATTATATTCTTTTTTATAGGTAAGAATTACTAGGACGGTAATAGAGTCTGAATTTAGATCATGTACACATTATTTCAACACTCAATTATTAGGTGGATCCTAATGGTTGATACAATTACATTTGAACCAATAAACTATAAATTACCAGTCCAAATTTAAAATTAAAAATATTTTATGAAAACTCTGAATAAAATTTATTACTATAAATCTCATTTATAATATTTACTAATTAAAAATGAAAATCCTTTTTGTAAATATTTACTTAATAGAAAAGTGGCATCCTAGCAAATTATAAAGAAGTGATATTTAAAGAGTCAATATATTTGAGGTAGTAAATTGTTCCAGATCCTATTCATTTTGTGATATGGTAAAAATAGTAATTAGTATCTACGGTGGATATGAACAATCTTCTTTATTTCTTTCTTTAAGTGAGTCTATGCATATCATTTTAATATTAAACAATCCAATTATTTTTTATATGCAAATTTCTATTTAAAAATTATTTAACTTGAATATATTTAAATTCTATTTGATATATCATATTCTCTCTTATATGTACACACATATATTAAGTAGTTTATAGGGTAAGGATCTTTATTTCAACTTAAACATTTCTAATATGAAATCTCAAAGAAGTTTCTTGAAAAACTTGCCAATGGGAATGAGTCCTATATACTTTCTTGATTAATCTTGATTAAGTTCAGTTTTAAGAACAACTAATATGCAATGTTTTGATCCAGTTTAAAGCAATGTTAAGCATAGAAACATATTAATCA